GATAAATTGTAAGACATCATATATTAAGCATATAACGTGACAATAATTCGGAAGGTTGTTTATAAGACTGTCTTTTATGTCCTAACAGAAAAAATTCTTCGCGAAAATTTTAATATATTACACAACAATCCTAGTCCAAACACTAAATTCTAACCCTAAAGAGCTGTTGATTATTTAACATTAACCATTATTTGACACTGACTATAAAGAGTTATTAGAACACCAACCATAAAGTGCCGTTAGAGTAATTATTTGTAAAGAGCTTTTTGAATAATTATTTTGTATTATTCGATTATTTTCACACTACATCTGATGATTGGCTAAAACTCACATACTGCTGTCTTCATTCGCCGCTACTGGTCTACTTTTACACCTTGTGAGGAAATTTTGAGGAGGACATATATTGTTCATATTTATCCCATGGAATATTAGAGAGATTCGCAAATTGCCTACCATTACAATAAATTATTTATTGCTTAAATCTAACTCATCGTTCTATAATGCACCTAACATCTAGTAATGAATAAAAAAGAAAACGAAAAAGATCAGTTCAAGTATTATTTAAAAATGAACCATGCAAGCTAAAAGAACTACTTAAGCTTATTATCTTTATTAATATCGTTAATAAATATTATTATCAATGGTCTATTACATTTAGTCTCATAATCCACGTTAAGAATCTCTCAAGGCATTTTTCAGGCGGTGAACATTGAAAAATGACATACTGTAAAGTGGCAATAACATTCATGTTTAGTGAATGTGAATACATCCATATCTTTGAAAATGTTTGAGAACCCGACTTATAGCCTTCTAAAAATTTTTTTCAATTATTTACCAGCGAAGATACTTTGAAAGTATTCATAATTCTATATTCATCCAAAATGATTATCCGTAGATTTATCCGGGATATTCGCAAATTAAAACCTGACGGTTTATCTGGATATAGCTTTATAAAAAGGGTACAGCAAAACGGGTATTCGGATACCCAGGTCCAAACTCTATTGTATCAACACCACATTATCTACAGTTCAATATATTTTTAACCAAATATAATTAGAGCAATTATTAATCAACCGACAGGTTGACTCTCGGATTGACTCATCCTCATTTATCCGAGTGGCTACCTGACTATTAGTTAATTCATTAAAAATGAAACTAATCGACCTTCGAACCCTAAATTAGTGCTCGTATTCAAATATACTATATTCATATTAGAATATTTTATGAATATTCATAAATATTTATAATTATTCATTTATTGTTATGAATATTCATATACATATATATATTTATAAGATTCATATACATTCATATACATTCATATAAATTCCATATACATTTATGAATATATTATGAAATTCACAAATATATTACAAAAAAAATTATGAATATATATTTAAATATCTGTTATGATTATGAATATAAGTAATCTTCTAAATTTTTTCGAAAAAACAATTTTCTACAATGTATCGAATTAATCGAATAAACTCAATTAAAACATTAAAGTTGAGTCTTTATAATGTTGCATTCACACAAAATGTTATTGTTCGCTTATATAGCAATAATAATTTGAACGCATTCAAATTAGTATATCATAATCCAAAAATTAAAATTGATTTTCCTAAACGACCTCAAATGATTCTAAAGAGAAGTTTGAATCAAGATACAGGTGTTTATGATCTTTTTTGGCGAATCAAAATTAAACTTATTGGGTTTTAAAAATTTCTAACCTTTAAATATGATTTATATGAATGATAGAAAATATTATTTATTCGAATCAGAGAAAAAAGTTTTTCACTAATGGTGATGAAAAGAAGAACCGATCAAATGTATTGTTTCAAGTTATGGAAGTTCTATTGACAACCGTAATAGGATTGACAGCTGTTGGTCTTGGTGGTGTATTTTATCATTCATGGCAAGTAGTGAAAAACTGGTTAAACCATTTTTAAATTCAACTTTAGTTAAAATAATATATATATATAATTGAAATTTTATTCAGGTACGAATGGAACGAAGTTCACAAAGTAAAATTGGCGTTCCAAACACCTGATCCGTTACTAAGAAGTAAAAGTGGAGGATTCCTCGAAAGAGAGGAATTTTTAGAAACAATTGATAAAGTTATAGAAGGCCGCGCACCTGGAAAATACCTTTTACTTGTAGGTGAACGAGGAACTGGGAAAACTAAATTAATTTTGAATGCAATGGAAAAAATAAATCAATGTGGAGTTGTATATGCTGAAGCACATTCGGAAAGTGAGATTTTTAAAGCTAGATTAGGCAAAGCTCTAAAATATACATATAGAGAAGATTATATTGGACAACTCTTTTCTAGAGTAGCACCCGAAAGAGGTAATAATTGAAATTTTATAATCTAATATATATATGTAATTATATATTAACATTATTATTTCTTAGGTTCAGCATTACTTGATGTTGAAAAAGCTTTAAATGTGGTAGAAACAGTTGCCATAAAACATTGCAAAAAACGTGGTCGCCCATTAGTTCTTGTTATAAATCATATTCATGCATTTAAAGATGATGATAAAGATGGTGACAACTTGTTAGCATTATTACAACAACGTGCTGAATCATGGGCTGCTACTAAGATTGTGACAGTGGTATTTAACACCAACGATTATTCAATATATGAACGCATGAGTAAATATTTCTTTATATATATATGTATATATATTTTTTTTGTTTGATTTGATATACTTATTTTTAATTTATGACAAAGGGAGAGATGCTTCTCAAATGGATGTTATAATGGTAAGAGACTTAAAGCCTAAAGAAGCGATAGAATTATTAAAATCAAAACGACAAGAATCTGAAGATGAATTGGAAAAAATAGTCGAAAGAATTGGCGGTCGTCTTTCTTATATTGATAAATTAGCTAAAGAAACTGATATTTATGGTAAAAAAATTTCATCTCATTAGAATCTACTGTATTATTATACGTGTATATATTTTTATAATTCCTTATATTTTATCTCTATTAGCAACTGCTAAACAATTAGAAAATGAAGAACGAAATTGGATAATTAATCGAATAGGTCTGATTCCTAATTTTGAAGGAGGTGCTCTTGATAAACAAAAATATGCTGCATGTGCTTGGAAATTAATTCATGCAATTGTAAAATCTCCAACTCATTCAGTTTCAACAAGTGAGGGAAGAAAAATTACTGGAAATCCAAAATGGATACAAATGATGGATCATGATGATATCATTATGATCGATGAATATCAAAATATTAAAGCTAATTCAAAAATTTTACTAAATATATTTGAAGAAATCGTTAATAAAGATGGGTTTGATGAGTTGCTAGACAATGTTTGTGAAAGAGTTAAAGAAATTGACAAAGCACAAAAAACAACGGAATTGATATGGAGTAATAAGAATAATTATCTTATTGTAGATTTGAAAAAAAACTAAAAAAATTAATTTTTTTAATAAATATTAGTATTGTAGAAAATTTTTAATTTATATAAAGTCTTTGACATTTAGTAGCTTGACAAATATACAATTAATTTCTAATATAACAATAATATAAAATATGAACACGCAAGGCCTTATTAATAAAATAGCTTGCATAAATTGCCGCGTTGCTAAGATTAAATGTGATGACGATGCTAAGTATGGTACTAAATGTTCAAGTTGTGCATTTGGAACTTGTTAGTGTGATAATAGGCGAAGGAATCGTCGAGTAAAGACATTAAGCAATTCAGTGATTGATAGATTTCGTAGACCTTATATTTCAGCTGCATGTAGAGATGTTAAAAGTTCGGTTCGGTTCGACTCGACTCCATGAGTCGAGTCTTAATCTAGACTCGGTTCCGAGTCTGACCTGAACCAAACTCACCATGTCATGTAAAATATGCTAATTTTAACGCCCTTGTGCCCCTGTGATACGCATGGTTACGCTCATCGGTTAAGATGTAACTAAAAATGGAGTAACCGATGAGCACGGGAACTACCTCGAATAGTAACCATGCATATCACAAGAGCACAAGGGCGTTAAAATTAGCATATTTCACATGACATGGTGAGTTTGGTTCAAGTCAGACTCGGAACCGAGTCTAGATTAAGACTCGACTCATGGAGTCGAGTCGAACCGAACCGAACTTTTAACATCCCTA